TGTTAGTATGGGCCCATTCCCCCCCCCCCCCCCTGGGTACCGGCGGATCTACTCTATCGAGCCCCGAACAGCGCAGCATGGTATATGCCGCAACGATCGTCAAGCTCGCAAAAATCCTTCAGAGGTTGTTGTCCGGGTTTCGGTCACTGGGAACGAACGGCGGCCTACAGTAGTAGCAACAGAGCCGGTACCGGCGGCTCTACTCTATCGAGCCCCCAACAGCGCAGCATGGTATTTGCCGCAACGATCGTCAAGCTCGCAAAAATCCTTCAAAGGTTGTTGTCCGGGTTTCGGTCACTGGGAACGAACGGCGGCCTACAGTAGTAGCAACAGAGCCGAGATTGGATCGATGAGGTCACACCCACAACGGTACGCATGCATCGAACACCGTTTGTTGTACCACAAGAAAATGATGCATACACCCACCCGAGATACAACCCGCATCCGATGCTGCCTGGAATTTTCACGTTGTCACCTTGAGCCCAAAACATGAATCTACTCGCAAGTCAAACAAACAAGGCGACAACCTATACCACAGCCCGCACACCACGCCCCGTGACATTATCCAACAAGTCAAAACGCAAGATACCACCGGGTGTGTTTGCTTGTGTGTGTGTGTGGTACCTTGTGTCGTACACCGAACAAACATCCACCATCCACCCCCCGTCACCCCATCTCCCATCCTTGGCCCAGGACTTGCTTTCTCACCTGCAGGTAGGTCTCTCCTCGAAACAAAGGCTCCCGGCGGAGCATCTCCGCGAAAATGCAGCCCACGCTCCATATGTCGATCGGGTAACCGTACTCCGCGGCCAGCATGATCTCCGGAGATCTGTACCACCGGGTTACCACGTACTCCGTCAGCTCCGCGGTTTCCTCCTCGTCCGGTGAGCTTACCCCCCTCGACAGCCCAAAGTCGCACAGCTTCAGGTCGCAATTCTGTGGAGGAAGCGGGGTGCATTCACGTAAACGCATGCCGTACTCGTTAGACCACTGACCTCGCATACCTACAATGCCTGCGAGGAGCGATACGCCGGGTTTTCGCCGGCCCAGGCTATGTTTCAGAAGGATGATGCTCGCGGGATTACATCCATAGGTATTCCTTCGAATGCATACAGCGCAAAGTCTCCCCTGGCGTGGAAAGACTTGGCGAGTTGTTGAGTGGGGTTTTCAGCTTTACTGGCCCCCCAAGGCCGTGCAGGCAGTGCTGTTTACTGCCGCGGCGAACAGGAAAAGCGGCACGAAACTTTGTTCTGGAGACCAACAAGTCCAGCTTCGTACGACCGTCGAGCATTGCGGGGGAACCACGCAGTCGGCCGTACAACACTTAAACACGTTTGCATGCATAAACCTGAACCAGTGACAACCCATCACCACAACCAACACAATCCTCGACGCCTGAAAGCCACGAGATCCATGCACACCCAACAGGCTAACCAACGCAGCCCCTCTACCCGCCAATCCGAGCAGAACAAAATTACTTACCGTGCTGAGCAAGATGTTGGAGGGCTTCAAGTCCCGGTGCAAGACGGAGGCAGAGTGGATGTACTTCACACCGCAAAGAATCTGGTACAGGAAATACTTCACGTGCTGGTCGCTCAGCCTCTGCGAAAAAGGGTCCACATCATCACGAGAGGAAAAACACGCGTTCAACAACGAGGAGGTATGTGTGAGCACAGATTTCCTACATCTGATGTTCTTCAAGTCACGCGGTGATCGCTGCTTCTCGACCTCCTTGAACACGCCACAGAAATCGAAAGCGCAGCGGCTACAGAGGCGCCAGAAACGCATCATCCGGCAATCTTCATCGGCTCCGCTGTGCCACGATCTTCTTGTCTGGTGTCAGATAGGGAAGCCGAGAAAATCGATGGTTTAAGCGACGACGTTGTTGGCTACTACGCCAACCTTCTGCCCATTTGGTCGGCCGGCTCGGCTGTGTGCCGATAGGCGTTCCCGATTTGTATTCCAGCATGGCCATGACAGCCGAGAGGATAGAGATAGGGTAAAAAAACACAAAATCGCCGAGCAGTGTAGGCGGCGGCGGGATCTGAACCTCACCTGGCTAGAGTAAATGACGCGGTGCAAATCCGTGTCCATGAGCTCAGAAACGATGTACACGTCGTTGAAGTCGGTCAGGGAGGGAGGGGGGAGGATGTCCACGATCTTGATGATGTTCATGTGGTCCAGGCGGCGTAGGAGGCGCACCTCCCTGACGATACGCTTCGCGTCTACCACATCGTCGAACGCTGACGGAATCTTCTTGATCGCCACCTTCGCATGATGACATACACACGCGCGTCAGGGGTTCGGGATGAGGGGTGGCAGATTCCAGCAGCAAATCGGCGCGAGGAGCGTGTACGTGTCACTGCCCGCATCCAACGGACGTCTTCTCTCGGCGCCCAGTCCGCTCTACTGTCGTGAGTGCCGCGAGTTGAGCAGAGAGCATGGCTTGGCGCAACCCTCACGGAGGACAATACTGATTGTGATGGCCCGTGACTACGGATAAAACAGATAAATCCACAAAAAGTCATAATGAAAGCGCCAAGACACAGGGGTACAGACATGGCATGGATAAGCAATGGCAGCCTGGAGGGCCGCGAAGAAACGTCAGGTTGAACTCCCAACAAAGCAATCGGCGGCAGTTACAACGTCCAGGAGACGAGAAAGCACAGCCTTCCGCCAAGGAAACGACCTCCATTCCTCACCACCTCCTGCTGTGGTCTCATGTGGCTACCGTACGCTTCCCTATCTATCGTACCTTCCACCCACGGTAGGTTGTTGTCCGCAATAAAAAACATTCCCATCTCTTTTCCGTAGTGTGACATCCGGGTCCGCATTGTGAATCGTTCCGAGTACAAAGGGAAAAAAAACTCGGCTCAGTTGCTCCACTCATACCTTACTGTTGTCCCTCGTGTCCAGAGCGGAAATCACCACCCCGTATGCACCGTGCCCCACCGGCTTCTTGTAGGTGTAGTAATCGTCCACTTCGAAAAATGTGTCCCATGCCGAGATCATCCTATTAATACAAGCAGCCACGACAACCACCAGCAACAAGCCAACAGGCGAGAACGAGAGGAGCTGAGGGCGAGGACATGAAGCCAGGCTCAACACGCCAAGCTCTTGAAATGTACACAAAAGATACCCAAGATACCTACAAAAAGGAACAGCCCGGCACCCTCGACAATAGTAGTCTTGCCCATCACGTCGGGAGCAGATGCCACCATCTTTCACGCTGCGGCTTTCAAGAGCTGTCACGCATTCGGGGGCCAGCCAACCATCTGCCGTGCGACAAACCACAAAAACCAAAAGTGCGCGTCTAAACCAGCACAACACGAGCCAAGAGGATACTGCACTTCCAAAACTCACCTCGTCCCCTTTCTTTTCGGCAGCACTACCAAGGCGTCCTTGAGCTGCTGGACCTTGTCGGCTATAGCCCTCATCCACTGCTCACGGTCATCGCCGCTCAGCGCGTTCACTGTCAGCGCCTGTTGGGTCCCCACACCAAACCGGCACGCCAAAGGGCACGCCAAAGAGAAGACAAGCGGGATTTCAGGCTCATTGTGATGGATGCGACGGAGCGGACGCGCCGGACACACAGGGTCAGCCTAGCCTACGGCGTATACACTAGACGCTCGTTTTCGGCCTAAATCGGCTGCAAGCGCCCGTCTCATCGGGGTCGAGCTGGAACGGGAGGTGGCTGGCTATCGCGAGTCTCGTGTAGGGCAGTCTGTCTCCATGACACGCACGCTTGATACCTTGCTAGGGCTACAAGGTCTTGCAAGGAACAGCCCCGTACAAGTTGTTGCAGCCACTGTTGCAGCAAAGCAACACCAAAACAACGACTACGACACGCAAAATGCCAGCAACTAGGGGGGGTGGTGCGATACGATCAGCCTGCCACCATCTCAGCCCGCGTTTGGCACGCTCGTGTAGGTGACCCGTGTTCATACCATAAGCAGCAACAGCGATAAAACTTGCGTTTACCAAGCGAAGCCCGTTTTGAGAGCACCGCAACAATCCACTTCGGTCACTAGCAATGTCAACAAGTAACCCGATGGTGGCACAGCAGCACCTTGTTCTACGCGCAATACCTAATCGGTTAAAAGGACGGCTAGTCTACCAACTTGGCCTGAGACAAGTCACACTAACAAGTCACATTGACAGAAACTTGCTTGTCCTCCATCAACTTCACCAGGGGAAAGTCACACGGGACCCTTGCCACTAACATTAACGAACCTGCTTATCCTCCCTCCAACTTGAACCGAGACACAACGCACACGGGACATTCATCTACGAACATATGGTCTTGGTCCTCCATCAAAAGTTGACCTGGCAGCAGTTACACGAAACATGCATCTTCACATCTCGACGAACCTGCTTGTCCGACACCACGTGGAAGGCGTGCTCCTTAGTCGCGATCTTCTTGAGTCTGCTACCCGCGTTCAGCTCCAGGGTTCCCCTGGGATGCCGGTCCCCCTTCTGATTGTAGTACATCACACGCTTGCCCTCCAGTACAAACCATCGCTCCGTCCACCCCGACACGCCTGTTGTAGAGCAGTAGTTTACACGAGAGAGCAGACACACGTTGACGGTCAGCCAAACACAGCAGCAGAGCAGCCGCACCAAAGGGGTGCGAATAGTTCTACAAGCACCCGGCACGGAGGGAGAGATTGATCCAGAAGCCCTCTTCAATCAAGGGCACACCTGGTTTAACGTAGAATGGAGGCGACGCTCATATCCGGTTTCTCTTGGTTTAATAGTGCGCTCAAAACGATGCAGGTGGGGACGACTGGACGGACACAAAAAGAAAAATCACAGCAAAACGTATGTATGTGTGTAGCTCACGCGAAGGATGCAATTGAAAACACCAGGGCAATATTATCCTGTAAAAGCAACAACGAATGCGGCACACTCGCCAAACAAGGAGGGCAAAGGTAAAGACAACAGAGGCTGTCTCGGTCCAACTTCGCTACGGCAGCAGGGAAAAGCAAGCTCGCATAACTGCAATACGGCATACTACACTAGGCGCGACTCATTTCTGATTCGGTGAAGGCTGGGCAGGTCCACGCCTGCAGTCATCGAATTGTCTCAAACACAGAGAGCTTCCGAGGAAGCCGTAAACGTGGGGTGCCCGAAAACTCTGGTGTAGCGATCAAACAAACAATTGTGCCCCCGATAAGAGTGGGCGCGGACACAGTAGCTGTTGTTGCCGAGATCGCTACAACATCCTTGACGGATAGGTACTCCTTCTGTTTGACTTGGTAAAAAAAACATCAACGAGAGCGCTTGCGCCTCCATACCGACTGTGGGTATATCTCGAATGGGGTCTCTCTGTGCGCGTATTCATTTTCCCTTAATACCGTATTGCACGAAGCGGCACAATCAGTTTGAATGTCCGCTGCCTTCAAGAAGTAAGTGAAAGTAGTCAACTCGTGCGAAAAAACAAACAAACGGCAGGATCCGCTTTCGAAACATTTAACATGCAAGAGGCGTGTATGTCGTCGCAAAAAGCGGGGGGGGGGGGCGTGCGCCATACTTGGACTGTGTCCCATTGGTCGAGGAGCAAACGTGGTGGGAAACATCCCAGCCAAAGTGACAGCAGTCAGTACTCCAATACTATAGTACAGGAGTACTGCTGTACCTGGTAGTATTAAGGAAAGACGCGAAACCGCAAAGTCTTTTCGCCATTCGCCTGCGAACGAGCACTACACCCCGTACAGCATTACGTTGCAGAAAAACGTCGACAGCAAAACCAGACCAGACCAGACCAGACCGGAAAAAGACGGGCGCCCACGAACGACAATCCGATGCCACTGGTGCGCCACGAGCCACATTTCTTGTTTGTCGTGTGGGTGTGGGTGTTACAGCAGTAGCGTATGCTCTGCTGTGTCGACCGACTCCCCTGATGTTTTTCCAGCACAACCAACACACACCACAACGGGTATGTAGTGTCCGAGGCTACAGATTGCAAAAAAAAACAGAAGCACAGCTCTCGGAAGCTTTCGCACGGGGCAGAGGTATTAAGATTGACACGCACAAATAAGCGCTTGGATACGGCAGGCCCTTGCAAAACGCGTGCACGTTTGGTGCATGTAAGGTCAGGTAGGACTTCACGATATAGTGCCGCCCGTGGTGAAACAGGCACTTGTAGAGTACCACTTTACCACCATACTGGTAAATAGATGGATGATAGTGTTCTTATTTCTCACGAAGAGCTTGTAACACATCGGGTCCCTGGTTTCGTGGTCGGGCATGAGGGAAAGAAGCGAGCTCGTGTGCGCCATCGCTTGTTTCTGGAAATTTGCGCCTGGCTGCTCCACTTTTAGCAAACGTCTAGAGCTTCACCATCAACAAGGAAGAGACGAGAGATGATGCAGGGTTCGCAAAAAGGCGGCCGAAAATGACCTGGGGCACAAAAAAGAAAGCGCGCTACTTTGGACGAGCGGTAAACGCCTCTAAATTTACCCGCAGAAACACGACGGCCACACGTCTCACCCAAGCGAAAACACGATCTGCCCAAGGGCATCGAAGGCATGTATCTACGTCTGCAAAACCACAGCAGACACGAGGGCTGGGCAGCGAAGAAAGCGGCGGTAGATTTTATAGCAGAAGGAGGATGTTGAGGGCCAAAAAAAAAATGGCTTGTATGCATACCCCCGCCGCTGTGCTGTTGGATCGGCTAGAGGGAGCAAGTGTTCTACGGCGCAACACCTGCAGGTGCAGAACTTCACCACCCAAGCGAGTCTTGCCGCCGATGGTGCGAGAGCATCACATGCAGCCGGGAGCAGCAAGAATGTGTAGGAGGCGCGCGCAACCGCTACTATGTACCATACAAGAAGAGGACACCCACTCACAATGGCTTCTGCGGTAGGGCTTCGAAAAAAAAAGCGCCTAAAAAAGAGGGGCCAGGTGGCCCGTGGTGGTTTTCGGGTCTAAAAAACGTCCACGATGATGATGGGATCGTCTACTTCTTACTCCACCCGCCAGGAGAGGGGAAAGAGGCCGCTCGGAATGTGTGACCGCAACCCACGAGCTCCTGGGAGGAAAAGCTTCGAAACAGCGCACCCAAGGTGTCCCAAAAAACAATTCCCACCGTCTCTGATTGCTCTACTACATACCATGAACGAACAACTACGACGCCAGCAACAAACACACACCCACAGATCGACAAAAACGAGCGAGAGAGAGAGAGAGAGGGGAGGCTCGAAACAAAATTCACGGCCAGGTGTGTACAGAACCGCACCCAAATGTTCTTCGCCTAGGCGCAAGTCAGCACAGAGCGGTCGACACACCCCGCGACAAGGAGTGCAAAAGGAAGCCTGCGTGAGCCGGGCCATACATCCGGACCAGCGCTCCCTTTCTGCTCTTTTTTGGAAGGCTGGTTGTCGCGTGAAAAACTGAGCGAGATACCCCATTTTGAACGAGACGCTCGCTGCTGTGCCGGCCAAACATCTCTTCAGGTCGCTCGGCCAGAAAACGCGCCCTCCGATCGACCACACACGACGCCATAACCAAACAACCCTTAGCCTCTGCAGCGTGCGTCTAGCCGTGTCGCCGAACGCTGTCTACCCAGAAAAGGGGGCACACGATCTCACCTTTCTTTTCCAAGAAACCCTCCATGGCTCAGCTCTCTCTCTCCCTCTCTCTCCCGCCTTATGCAGACAGCAGATCCTGGCAACCTGGCCGTCCAAGCAAAGGGGAACCGAAATACCCTTTCCGGCTCCCTCCCCCCAGACCACCTCCGTGCAACGGCTTCACCAGCTGAAACGCGCACGAAGTGCAACAGACAGCCCCCCTAAGCAGGCCTGAGCACTACCTGCAGCCTCCGCTCAAGGCTCGAGCAGAGAGGGCACGCCGCCTGCCTGTTGTTCCAACCACGCACAAAGGCCTTCGTAGCTTTTTACAATTTGACACCCGATCGAGCCGAGCGACAACACGCGCCGCAGACGATTTTCTGAGACGCGAGAGGCCAAGAGCGCTACGCCGGCACGAGACTAGATGAGGTCACCCTGGCCCTCACCCTTGTTGGTCTCGCTTTACACCGCGCGGTACGGCGGTGCTATTGTTGGAATTACTCGGCACAAACAGAACTTACGTCGCTCCTCTTTCTTGGCTCTCGAAGGGCAAGTCAAGCTACCCGCAGGAAACCCCGCCTCGTGTTCCTCTCGAATCCGCGGAGCCCCCTGGCAAATTAAATTCTGACAAATTCAAATCACCAGCCAGGCCAGTACTTGCACCTTGCTTGCCACCTGACCCGTGTGTTGCACCCAAATGATTTCGGGCGGGCTGGAGGCCGATGGTTGTTGTGAGATCAAAATCTCATGCGTAGCTGGCCAGGGATTGTTTGCGACCAAGGATTTGGTGAAAGGGCAAGTGTTGTTTAAGGAGACTGCATTCTTCTTGGTGCCTGGTCGGCGTGATGATGCCGCGGTAGTAGCCGCATCCTCGAAGCTGCCTCCCCTGTCTCCCATCACCGTTCAGCACAAGCACTGCCCCCCATGCGTCAGACTCGCCCCAACAGATACGGGAGGCGTCTTGAGCGGCTGCTACGAGGAAACGTACCGCTTTGCGCTTGCCTACCTTTCGTCCACTGCGAGCATCCGATCTCGAGTGCAGGAGCTTTCTTCGAGCATGCGACCTGCTGACACCACCACCACCACCGCTCCCGCCACCACCACCGACAACGACGGCCATGACGACGATGTCGATGACGACGGCGACGACAACAACAATGCTATTGTCACGCTTGTTCGACGTGAAGTTGCTTGGTTGAGGAAGTGTGATCGCGACCTGCGCAGCTTGCCCTCGCGTGAGCTTGTAGGAGCGGTCCACAGGCAAGCCACAAAGGATACATACGTACCACCATCATCATCATCGATACTGCTGTATGTATCTATCTGAACGTAATGTACCACCACCTACATGTTTATCTACCTCTGTAACGTCGATAGACATCGCATGCAAGTGCGATAGTCCATCGATTTACGACATCGTAGTAGGAACACATCATTCGTAAGGACCACATACATGCAGTATAGATAGTCTCTATCTATGTGATGCCACCGGAGAAGAACCAGGATCCGTTCCCGTTAGACTATAGGTAGGAGGTATGTATACAACCACGCATGTGGTCGCCGGCACACGAGCTTGTTTGTCAAGTTCTTGCCGCCGTACGTCGCCTTTTTTTTGTATGGAGGACCGTTCTTTGCCTGCCCTGACTCTAGGGAGAGTTTGCATGTGAACACGAAGGGGGCAACGGGCACCACTGGGTGCCGGACCACCGACAGGCTGCATGAAACTATCACCCTGGTACACGTAACCCGCTCGCTTCAGGTATTGGGCGAACTGCATGGGTCAAGAAGGTTCGCTGTATGAGCGTGGCTCCCGTTTCAACCACAGCTGTACTGCCAACTGCACTCGCGTTACGCTCGATGGTGGCGGCGTGGAAAGAGCGTTCATGACCCTGCGGCCTGTCGCCGCAGGAGAGGAGCTGACCCTTAGCTACCTGCCCTCCGGAATCGAGGTCATGGGAACCGTTGTTCGCCGGCGACATTTGTGGTTATCACGGGGGTTTCTGTGCAGCTGTGACCGGTGCTCGCGACCGCATGATGAAGTTCGGCAAGTGGTGTGCCCCGAGTGCTGCAAAGGTTACAACTCACCACAAGAGCGGCGCTCGAGTAGCGGAGGGAGGGTTGTGGGCAGCTCCAGGTCGGCGGAGGGGCACTCCACTCCTACTTGTCGCGATGGCGGTCCTTACAAGGGGGGTGGAGCACGACGACGACCTGAAGAAGAAACGGTGTTCGCTGAATGGTGGAAACAGAGCGAGATGTGGGTATGTCAGTATTGCGGGTGGTGCAGCAATATCGACAGTACTTGCAGTGACAGTGCACCATCGCGAAGCCTGCACTGCAAAGAGAGCATTGTGAGCGCAGAGGTATTTGCGCTAGTCATGGCCCATACCGTTGATCCCCGTTCACCAAGTGCCAGTTGCACCAATATGGCACCGGACGGCCGCAGCGGGAGCCGGGGGTGGCCGCACCACCCTGATGAGCAGCTACAGGCGAGGCGCGACACGGTTAAGGGTATGCTAGAGACATCTGTCACCGTTCTGGGCAGCCGCCACTGGACGACGTTCAGTTGTGCCTATATGCGGCTGAAACTAGAGCTCTCGGCTCGGTCGACCGATGATGGCCAACGTCCTCGGTCGGGTTCGCCCAATTCCTCATCGCCTACAATACAGCCGGAGTTCTTGGACTGGGCCATGCGAGAACTGAACGCGCTGGAGCAGTGGCTAGGCGCTGCGCTGGGGCCTGTGACGTCGCACCCGCCGGCATACTATATTTTCGACCTCGTTTGCGACTTGCTCGACGCGACGAGAGGCTGCTCCGCACGCGACACCGTTGGGGGACTGCAATTGTTGCTGGGTAGAGTCGAGGCGTGGGTTTCGGTTTTCGCAGATGAAGACCAACGTCGAAGGTTCGCGGTCGTGTCGGCCGCAGTTCATTTGCAGTGTTGACACCGTCGTTTCTCCGTAGCCCCAGCTGTCTCAAGCCTTGTCTCTCAGCGTTGTATCGCGTGTACTCCGGAGGATTACCTAGGATACTCACATTGCTGTCTTATCAGCGGAACGGTAGAAGTGCATTAGTTCGACGGGGTGAGCAATGGATGGGCGAGGGAGCGGGCATCTTTTTCGATTGCGAGCAGAGTACTTGGTACGTGTGCGACGGCCGTTTCAAGGGAATGTTACGCATTAAAAAATTGTGGCTTCTCTGTTTGATGCCGGGGACGTGCGAAGCATGAGTGACCGATGCCTTCAGCGCAGAATTCTGCAGCTCTGGAGAGTTTCTTTAGCCTATCTATGCTTATGCCACCTGCCCCCCACGCCCTCGATGTTCCATCGGATAATTTCGATGACGGCTACATAGCCACGACAATCGAACTGGAGTCGCGTTTTTTCACGTCTTATGTCTCCTAGACGGAGGGTGGGGGCTGCTAACATATTGCCGTCACCAGCTGATACCGATCGCGAGTTCTTCAGCACGTGCTTATGCTCTTGTTTCAAACTGGTGTGCTTGACCCCTGCCGATTTCTTGCTACATCAATACACGAGGAGGTTACGTGTGCTCACCCCAACTCTCACAGGAGGCAAGGACGACTTTCCACTCCCGGCGTCGTTTATGCAATCCCGCATTGGGCACAAGAATAAACTATCCCTCAACAAACCTCTTCTGTGCTGCACGGTGGGGCAAAGCTTTCCGGTGCATTCTCGGTAGAAGCTGTCCTCAACGATAACAGGCAAGACCCCGCCCATTTCCTCTACAGCGTACTCTATACCCTCTGTCAACCCCCCGGAGCAATCGCACAACGGTGTTGCGGAAAAAAATCACCCCCGGGCTCATCAACAAGAGACAGGGGAGGATCTTTGACAGGAACGACCCGTGGCAAAAATCCCCCTGCGCAGTGTTATCAAAATCAGAGAGACACAGCTCGAATACAAACACACGCTGCTGCTTCGATGTCGAGTCAAAATGCGTTTTACGAGCAAGCATTCCAGAATCCGAGAACGGATGGAAGTAGCTGGGGGGGCTTGGAACAAAAAAGAGCAACGATTGTTGTGTTTGCCCCGGCGGAGATCGCGAAGATTGGCGAACAGATATCGCCCCGCGGCCAATCAAGAGGTAGGGGGGGAATCTTAATCTTCAGTACAGTCCGAATACATAAAATTGTACCATTTGTATAATCCCGACGCTAATACGGCAACGTTGTCTCCACGCTTGAGGCGATTCTCGTTTGGGGGTTGGGGAGGGGGGGGGGTGTACTCATAGTCGTGCATGCCGTAGTCGTTAGACCATTGGGGGGGGTACGACAGAGGATATTACGATGATACCGTAACCAAGCTCAACCATCGCGTGCCTCGCGCGAAACACAACACAACTTACCAACGTTTGAGAGATGGGAAACAAACCTCGCACCATTATGTACATAGGAGGCCTTCCGGAGCGAGGTACAAGGCACCAAAAGGCATATGATCGTTTAGCCCCCGACCTATCTATTGAAACTTCATATTTTACTTGGCTTTTGCCTCCAAGACACGGCCACACCCCTTTGACGTTAACCAAACGAGCGAAAGTACACCACGACCCCACGAAGATAAGCGACGCCCAAGGAAGAGTTGACAACAAAATTCGCCACCAAAGCATGAAGAGTGGCGAAGTTCAGCGAGAACAACTTTCCGCTACAGCAGGGAGTGTCCAAGAAGAGTACGCCACACTAAACCCAGTTTGGAGACATGGAACTACTCTCAGTCACGCCAGGTCAGGTGTGTTCCGACAACGCGGTTCAGCCAATCCTTACCCGCCATATCTAACACGGCGAGCAAGGGCGACAACCACCCTCGTAGCGATAGTCAGCCCCCGTTGTCTTGCTACGATAGAAATTCGCCGCATTTTCAGCGGCTGTTCGTCAATACTTAAAACCATCGTCCTCTACATTGGTGCGCGGCCGTCCCACTCGCAACTCCGACACGACAAGCCCGCGAAAGAGTTGGGCGGCCCATCAACACTTCACGAGCTGCCTGGAACACATGCAGCAGGAGGTCGGGGATGAGAATCTTACTGACGAACTACCAGTCACGTGCTGCTTGCCTCGGCAACGAGCGTGCAGCAAAACGACATTTCCGAGGCCTGAAACAAGACATCCAACCCAACCAATCCAGACGCCAGGCCCTTCAGTGAGAGCCGGACTGCAGCATCGCAAGAGCTCCGTGAGGTAAAAGAAGCAGTTGGAGCTTGCCCAGCGCTGCCATCGACTCCACATTCTTCATCTCGCAGCTCCGAGAGAAACAACCACATGGGACAAGAAACAAGTCCATCACAAATGCCGCCAAGGTGCAGAGATTGGCTTGCCTGGTCCTACAGGTGGTGGCTCCTGGGCGTAAAGGTACAGGGGGGGTGCGTTCGCTGACATTCGCAGCTCGTCTCCTAGCTGCATCGAGTGCACCGAGTGCTCTCCGTCGATGTAAACGAACCCATCCTAGACAATCGAGGCAAACAAGACATTGAACGGGGGAGAGAGGACGTCGTTGAGTCGTGGCAGCGGCGATGGCGGGCGACGCGGTAGTGGGGGGCTAGGCACAAGTCGCGAAATATTCGAGGCTCACGTAGTGGTAGCGATAGCAAACAAGAGCCAGAGTTCTACCGTTGGAGTCCACAGCCCGCTTGCAAGCCCCGTTCGAGCTGCAGAAGTTCGCGATACGGTGAACATGCATGCATGCCATGTGCTCATCCCACCTTGGAGTTCCAGCGAATCTCTATCTTCGACCCCTGAGGAACAATACCCTGCCCCTTCGAACGCAGGTGCTCCATGTGGGCTTCCACCATGTGCTCCCGCACCATGTACCTATGGCAAGCATGTGTATTTGGTCAGAAATACCCACGTGCACTCTTGCACCCACACTCAGATGCGGAGAAGGAACAAAACCTAGCGCGCGCGTATGGAGGTGCTAGGGACCGCAAAACAACTGCGCCATTCTTGAGCACACCATGGCATCTCGTTTGGCGTCACCCTCTGGTTGGCTGACGTCAGTGTGACGAACTCGCCCACCCTTATACGGGAGGATCTAATCTCTCTTACAACAATAATTCTACTGCGTGTGCCAATTTTTTGGAGTCCAAGCCAGACGACGAGCTGACCACTCCGTACTTTTCCACGAATCCGTCCAAGTCAAGCATCGCAATCATGGGGCTGCACGTGAGTCAAGCGCTGCACGTACAACAACAGCGACAGAGCACCCTAGGCCCTACAGCTCCTGCGCGCCAGCGGTAGCGCTCGGGCAAGTACCGCTGTGGCGCGCAGGTCCTTGCTCACTCACTGCATGTCTGACGAGTCTGGTGCCATGGGCTGCCCCCCTGCTGCCTTCATCGCCGCCGTCGACCCCGTCGCTGTGCACACCCACATACCCGACGACCAAACGTTAAACCACTCGCGGGCGGATGCGCCTGGTGAACACATGCGGCAGAGCACACGAACGAAGATTGAATTGACGCTGTGGCAACTGTGTATTAGTGTCCAAGCACACACAGACGGTTTCGTGGCTCCAGAAAGAACAGCCAAAGCAAAATTTCGGCCCTGTAGGCTTACTGACCCCAACAGCTTCTTTACTCACGGCATTTTTATCCTAAACAAGCACAACATCTACAACGTACGCTGACCAAAAGCAAAGTTGACCCGGACTGCAATAGACATCACGTACTCTACAGAACACACGAGGGACAGCAGTCAATCTACAGACTGCTCAATTTTCTGGGTCGACAGACGCCACAGGTTGAAACACGAAAAACGTCAAAATCGCTTGTCACGGGCTGGAGGTGTTGTTCTATACGACCCACGGCAGTTTCGGCCGTGTGATAAAGCCAGCTTCGGTGTCACCCCACACTAATAAAACAAGCAGGCAGCAGTGGGAAAGCACAGAAATACTGAACTGGGGTGCGTGCCGATCGTGTAGGTGCGCAGCACGGAACCGGAAGAACCACACCGCTGAACTCACCTTCCGCAGGAATCAAGCCCAATCGGAATCGGCTGACGGCTGCTGGATTAGGGTTCGTTAACAACAACTGTGTGTATTGAGGGGATCGTCGGAAGATGCGGGACACGCGATGGAGAAATAGAGACAACAGGTCATGGGGTGTAAGATGTGCGTTCAACAAGATCTAAACCAAGTCTGACCACTGCTGTGGACATCGTCTCCATACCAACCATCTGGCGATGCAAACGGCCATCTGCTTCAGACGGAGGTTGTGGAGGTCGATCTACCAAAACTTGCGCGCTCCACACACCTGGATCGCACAACTTCTACGCAAAACCATGATCTACCTGCTACTCACTTTGTTGGGGACAATGTTTGAGCAGCTCGAAGGGGCTCGACTCTGGCCAGTGCTTGCGGAATATAATCTAATCGCTCGTATACACGGATAAAGTATTGCGGGGCACACGCGCAAATCTTCACAGGAGACGGTGTGCTACCCCGCATTTTACACATATGTTGTGAACAACAACGTAACACGGCTTCTTAGTCGAATCATCAAACTCGACAAGAGCAACAACTGGTCCAGTCAACGAGCGACGCATGTGAAACTTACATCGTTGAGAGTCGGCGGCAGCTTGGTCTCCGTGAACGTGCTCTGAGGAGGGGCGGGGGGATTGAGGCAACGTGGTAAAGGCGAAAGAGCAAATTGCAAGGTTACCACAGGGCAACTGCATCGGATCGAACGTCTCCGAAAGTGCTGCCGGCAACTATGCAGACCAAACTAGGGGGAAAAGAGATCAGAAGACAATGAAACACACAGGAGAGGCTCCCCGGACGGAGCACAAAATGGCTCAGACCAATCTTCTTCAAGTCTACATACGACTGTCGGAATTAAAACTGACGATAATAATAACAAGTACGCCAGGCAAACATCCGGTTGGAATGCGATGCGACGCACGAAGGGCACGAAAAGCGTTTCAGATTGCGTTTCAAACCACCCTCGACAGAGCCGCCAAACAAAAGCCATATCAGAATTCCAACGACAAGAATGGACGACACCACAATTTCCTCTCGGGATTCTCCAAAACGACGTTTTCTCGACAGACTGACCTTGATGGATGTTTGCAGTCGTGTTCGCCGTTGCGGCTCCATTTCCCTCAGCAAGATCTGTCACAGCGGCAGCACCCCCCCCCGAAACGAAAAAAAACACCCCGCACAAAGGATACATGTGACTGACACAAGAGGGGTTGTACTCGTCAACATGCTGGTGATGTGTTGCTCCAAAACCACCGCCGCGGCGAAGCACGAGAAGTATCGCCGACAAGGTGGGCAATGTTACCCCACGTGAGAAGCGCCGAGGAGTACGAAGTTTTGCACGTCAAACGGAGGGCGACCGCGGTGGACCGTGACCATCCAAAGTTACCGCGCACTACCCAGAAGTTCGGCGCGCTTATTGTCTACTACTATGTAGTTGTTCAGTGCATCGATGACGTTTTCGATGGAACGTTTTGCTCGAGGTTTGTGGCGTGGGGGGGGGGGAGGAAGCTGGAGGGAAAATGTCGCCGAGGGCTACGTGGCGTGTTGAAAAAAATGACGTATGCACACAATATCGTGCAAGCTTTCCATGGCCGCCGAGCAGCTGAAAGATAGATGTTGCTCTTGGTTCCACCGGCAAGCGTTTATACGGCACGACAGACTTGTCGAGGCACGAGCGTACAGGGATGGCTTGACTTGTCTTGAAGAGCACAAGACACAACGACACACGTGCAGGAAAACGAAAAAACCACCGTGTCTCAGACTCATGTCCTGGCCTCGGCGGGGTATGTCACCGAACCCTCTAAACACGAGCTGCACACTGACAGCTAGGACGAGACCCTCCGAAACAAAAGCGAGTGTGCTTTCGGACGCCACGGCAGTATCACAGGCCGCTATTCCACCTCAAAACCTGTACCGTGCCCTGCCGTACCGCACCTTGGGCAGCATCTCCTCAACGTCGAGAGCGGTGCACATGCACAGCGCTCCGAAGCTCCTTCTCTCATCGGTCTTCTTGGTGGTATTCATGATCTCCTCCGCCCTGTTGGGATCGCTATTGACGCCCACCAGCGGGATGTTGTCCCCGAGGAAGTGGCTCGCCGACAAAACCGTCCCGTCCCCTCCCACGGAAATCACCAAGTCTACCTGGCGATTGGCGCAGATGAGATTTCCGGTGCGGGGGTGGAGGTACATCGTTTGCTACCGGTCTCAGCACCAGTGACTCACCCTTTTCGCCGCTGAGGGCAGCATTTACTCCGGATAAGGACACCAAGGAGCAGTTGACGCTGCTGCCGAACTGCACACAGGGAAAAGTGCTTTACGTCTTCACTATTCGTGTGGCCACTATGCCTACGCAACAATACGGTTCATCGTCCTCCTGTCCCTTCGTCGTTGAACATTTTCTAGTTCTTCTATCAGACTGATTCCGGCGAATATACTTGGTGACTTCGTGTTGATGTCATGTGCCTGTCCTGCATACTCTTCCACTTGGTGCATGTATCATGTGATGCTGGTGTCGAGGGAGGTGGGTGTGTGTGGGGGGGTGAACGGAGTTCGGAGGGGAAGGAGGGGAAGGAGGGGAAGGAGGGGAATTTCACGATCCACATAAAACTACAAGTAGTGAGGAATGGTTGTTGTCGGAGCTACCAACACCTCACCCAGAGGGAGCAGTCATCATGTGCTGGGCAAAAAACAAGGACCTTGAGACGGCCGTGAAGCGCGACGGCAATCGTGGTCCAAGTGGATGGAGGTATGCATAGGTCTTACAACGCAAGCAGCAACACCGTACAAGGTTGCAAGTTGCACACAGCACACCTTCATTGGCGGGAGCAATACTCTATTGAAAATATTTCTGCTCAAAGGGCCGCCGCGACACCCTACAACAAGAGCATGGTACCACGCTCTCGGCGCTACAAATCCTGTGGTGGTGTAGCAGTTCTCCCATCGGGTGGCATCTCCCCTGACCTTCGATATGTGCTGGCGATCTAGCTCCTCCCTCCCGACCAGGGCATATTCCGACTTGTGCCTGGTCAGCACCCTCTCCACTGAGGCGACACACTCGCGGTGGATGTCGTGGCTGATGGAGGCCATGGACGATATCGTCGGTGGTTTATAGGGCACCATTGAAAAGCAGTAGGACGTGGGCATCAAGGCAGCAGGGCAACAGCAGCATGTTTGGAAAATCGCACAATCATAGTCAACGTTGCCTGCGGACATATCCACCCGCAGAAAATGGTACTCCGGGGCTTTTTGTGGAGCTGTAACGAGTGTCCGCCGACATCTGAGTTTGAAATGTTGTGTGTGTGCTCTGCTACGGACCCCTGGAACGTAGATGTGCTGGTACGATGGTACCACGCTTGTGATCTTCTTCATTGCTGCTGTATCCCATCTTCCACTAGCTGCATACAACACAGCATCGCACCTACCGGAGTTATGGCATCGACGGTGCCTCCGAATAAAATGAACGAAATGATAAACATGCAGTTCCTCGCCCCTCGCGGAGCCGGGGTGCCCCAAAAATCCTACATCGGGATTTACGCAATAAATACAGGACCGCAGTCGGCTTCCCTTGCAGATTACGGTAAGCTTCGCCGCGTCACTCACCGGTTCTTGAGCCTCTCCCACCTCACCGCCGTCGGAGCCTTCCCCTGTGCCTTGAGCGCTTTGTATGACTGCGCAATGTAACGTTGAGCGCTTCTTAGGAGCATGGCACAGCGAGCGATGTATTCATGATTGTACGCAGTAGTACGGTAGCACAACGGGAGAACCGTTCGGGCATTTGTTGCGCCGGTGAATCATCCCTGCTCTTCTGGTTTTGCTGTCGGCACCAAAGGGCCTGGCAATCACCGCTAGTGTCGGAGCAACATGTCCACGAGTACGGAATGATCAGCATTTACACATGACGCCCAACACCACCGCTGCTTCTTCTAGTGCTGCTGACAACCTCCACCTCCATTCATCTCTGGCGCGTCATCAGCCGTCACACCAGATGTAACTCTACAAAAATGCAAATAATCCACATTTTGAATCATCAACCATCGCTGTTGTCAACGGGATCCTAGTGGACAGCATAACCAAGCCCGCATCGCTCGGCACCATAGTTAAAATGCAAAGACGGACAAGAGTAGCAGCGCAGCACGGCAGCAGAACGCCCTGCTGCGGCGGTTTTCTGTTAAATTCCTTCCGCTGCTGTTGGCTGATAGCATACATCAGTCAGCACTCTATCATCAGCTGCGAAAACATGAGCGCTCTCGCTCAAGATTCAAGATTGGGCCGCTTTTTTTCTGCCCTCCCTATCTCTTACCTCGTAAGCGCTGTGCTTCACCACCACGAGAATCTTTCTGAAGCCCGAGCCAAACACCAGTCGGCTCTTCGCATGGCTCCAGCTAGCCGACATGGCAAGCTCCGGGTGAGTTCTCCAACAGCTACAGGTGTCACGCCGCTGTTTTTGCCTGTCTCCAGCAGGAACAACGAACAACGTCACTTTCGCCAAACCTCGTCTTGAGACGCAGTCGCACCAGCACACACAATCCTCACGGCCAGGCAAGCCACTACTGGCCGGGACAGATGGACCAGATTTGAGGCGTTGTCGGCGCGTGTGGCATTGACGCGTGGCTTGCGCACAGACCCAGCAGTGCGTAGCAGCAACCACAAAGAAACAAGCAACAGACCGAGGAGCGGCGGGGGCGGGGGGGGGGGGGGGGGGGGTCGCCGTACGCGTGTGATTCATTCATGCAATGTTTGCCCGGAAAATTTCTTCTCTCCTTGGCGTTGTGCTTCTTTTTCCTCGCCGCAACATATCTTGCAAAAATCAAATTGTTTACGCGATGTTCTCCTCCCCCCCCTCCCCCGCTCGTCGTGCGCGTTGCCCTGTGCTGTGCAGCGGCCCCCCGGGGCTGCTGCTGCTGCAGCCATGGAAGGGACGCCGCCGCGGCCAGGCACGCCAACACCCCGTCCACCGGCGGCGACGGCGGCGACGGCGGGGACTAATCATAACCGGGGAC